CGTTGCCAGCCCGGCGCCAAACCGGCGCCGGCGGGCAAGCCGGTCCTAATAGGGGCGACCCCGCAGAGGACCCCCTTTTGTCAAATTCGCCCCCGCAGAGGACCCCCCTTTGTCAAATTCACCCCAGGAGAGGGCCCCCTTTTGGCCATGCCCCAACCATGGCGCCGGCATGCTTTGACCCTGACAAATCATCAACAACTATTCACTTTCAGACATGGAAGTAGTCTCAGTCAGACAACTCATCAAGGGACACTGCCCACGCTGTCAGGTTGGACAAATGTGACATTTTGGTCATCTTATTCAGTCCTTGTACTTGATAACACCTTGTGTTATGCCCACTGTCATGCTTCACAGCACTCTCACATCGAAGCACCACAGAGCTTCCCCCTTTGCTAGTCTTATCGATGAGCACCCTCCGACCTTGAGCCAAAGCAAAGTCTTGGATGGCCCGCACAGCATCAGATCTGGATTCCCACATATCTTTGGAACTGAGCTGTGGAAGTACATTGGAATTAGGCTCATCATTGAGCTCTGCCATGGCAGTGGCATCCGGTTGTTCATTGGGGGTCCCACTGTCGGTGGCAAGCCTGTGTTGGGTAAGGCGTTGTGGAGAGGATGATGCGGCAAAAGCTCTTTGGCTTTGGCTTGCCATTGCCTATATAGTTGCACATGTACTGATTAGAGGGGCTGTATCAGTTTTGAGTTCTAGCTCACAAAGTAAGTGTAGGGCTGTGCAAGTGAACATCACTGCATCAAACAAGTGTATATTCCTGTATGTAAAAACCGATGCCTTGCAACAAGGTAAATATTGGGCTGCGCAACTGAAAATCACTGCCACAGACAGTGAATGGGTGGATGAATATTTCCGCCTTATAAGGGAGTAGCATCTACTTACTACTATAGTTGCAACATTTTGATCATATCAGCTCACCTCACAACTGTCACCGGCCTTCAGTACTGATGGTTGAATTTCAATCAGTACTTTTATGCCCTACCACAAACACACAACATTCACCACTGAGTCATCAGCATATTGGAAATCCTTACCCAGAGATCCCACAAAATTATGCAACACAACTCAGCGCTCATAGTCTTCCCATATTGAAAGCATTGTGAGCCAGCATCAGTACGGATGCCACAAACATTTCCATAGATCGTCTGCAGCCATCTCTGAATCCAGCACAGCCGTCCCACACAACTCGTTTCACACTCACAGCCACACGCTTTGCTATAGTTTTTGGGCCACTAGAAGTGGCCTGCATACTGCCATCGAACCAAGAGCACATAAAATGAAGGCATTGTGAGCTAGCATCAGTACGGATGCCATAAGCATTTCCATAGATCGTCTGCAGCCATCTCCGAATCCAACACAAACGTCCCACACAACTCGCTTCACACTCACAGCCACACGCTTTGCCATAGTTTTTGGGCCACTAGAAGTGGCCTGCATACTGCCATCGAACCAAGAGCACATAAAATGAAGGCACTGTGAGCTAGCATCAGTACGGATGCCATAAGCATTTCCATAGATCGTCTGCAGCCATCTCCGAATCCAACACAAACGTCCCACACAACTCGCTTCACACTCACAGCCACACGCTTTGCCATAGTTTTTGGGCCACAAGAAGTGGCCTGCATACTGCCACCGAACCAGGAGCACACAAAATGAAGGCATTCTGAGATGGGATCAGTACAGATGCCACAAACATTTCCATAGATCGTCTGCAACCATCTCCGGATCCAACACAACTGTCCCACACAGCTCGCTTCACACTCACAGCCACACGCTTTGCCATAGTTTTTGGGCCACAAGAAGTGGCCTGCATACTGCCACCGAACCAGGAGCACATAAAATGAAGGCATTGTGAGATAGGATCAGTACAGATGCCACAAACATTTCCATAGATCGTCAGCAGCCATCTCCGCATCCAACACAACTGTCCCACACAACTCGCTTTGCACTCACAACCACATGGTTTGCCATAGTTGTTTGGCCACAAGAAGTGGCCTGCATACTGCCGCCGAACCAGGAGCACATAAAATGATGGCAAGGCCAGCGAGCGACAGAACATATGGGACTAACATTCTGACGGATTGTCGAAAGCCATCCCCACATCCCCATAGTTGTCCTACGCAAGTCGGTTGACACTCACAATCACACTACTTGCCAGCGCATCCATTCTGTTTTTGCTGCGAGCACACTCGCGATCGCCGACAGAGGCTCTGCAACGACAAGAGGATCTGCAGCCATCCGACCAATCACCAAACATTCTTAGCCTTTACCATTTACCTGAGCCTTTACCCCTCGCTTTGGTTTGCCATGGCTACGCTCGCCATTGCTGCGTGCTCCCTGCCGCAGTTCCGAACCTTGCGACTCCCTCTTGGAGCTCCGATCGCCACTTGATCTCACGGGTAGCTCCGATCACCCCTTGCTCTAACCGCAGCTCCGGTCGCCGATTGCTCTCCCCGCAGCCCCGATCGCCACTCGATCTCCCAGGTAGCTCCGATCACCACTTGCTGTCGCCGCAGCTCTGCTCACCGCTCGCTCTCCAAGCAGCCCCGATCGCCGCTTGGTCTCCCCCCGCAGCTCCAATCACTGCGACTCCCTCCCGCAACTCCGGTCGTTGCAGCCTCCCAGAGGGGTCGCCCCTAGTAGGGTTGTGATCCGGTTTGGCGCCATACCGGTGCCGGTATGGCGCCGGTTTGGCGCCGGGCTGGCAACGCGCGTAATGTACAGGGGGCGGTCAGAGGACCCCCTTTTGTCAAATGCACCCCCGCAGAGGACCCCCTTTTGTCACAGAGGACCCCCTTTTGTCAAGATATCTCACAGAGGACCCCCTTTTGTCAATTTCCCTTATTATTATTATTGTGGTGGAAACCAAGGTTGTCTCACGGTCGGTCCCGGGCACAGGAAGCAATGCCATAACCAGATGCGTTACAGGACACACCAATCAAATAACTCTTGCTGGAATGTTCCCAGTTAACACTCGCTGTATCTCCGTATTCATTTCACCATATTTGAACACCATGCCCCCGTGTCCGGCCACATCACAACTAGCACCATCTCCTTTATAGCTACTTGTTGAATTCCTCGCCCTCACAATGATGATGATGGTGATGATGATTGTGAGGGCGAGGGAACGGTTAATATATTATGTGTGATACATGGCGTTTTGATGGTGGGAAATGAACGTGTGAACATGGTGTTATGGTGTATGTATATGGGGACAATGGAGTTTGGTAGTGAACATTATTACATTGACTGGTATTTAGACTGATACGCTCATCCTGTAATGCATCCGGTTGCGGCCTTGCTTCCCGTGCCTGGGAGCGACCGTGTGCAAGCGCGAGAGTGCTCGGTTACCGCAATAATGATGATGAATTCTTAATTACATAGGGCTCACTAAACTCGAATCCGCTCCCAGCAGCATAAACATGATGGTGATGATGGTGATGATGATGGTAATGATGATGATGATGATGAAATTCCATTAACTGCGTGTCAGCCATCGAGGGCTGTGTCGCCACCCAGCCGCACAAGAACAGTATGTCCATTTCTTGCCCCAGCGTTCGTCTCACTCATGTACCAACTATCCGCTTCTACAGTGAGGCCTAAAAATCATTCAAAATATAATGCTTAATTTTGATGGCCAAGCTGAAGCCATTTCAGAATCAGACACTCAGGGTTTTGTGTTGTCTCTGCCGATGATGCACTAAACAGATAGGAGATCTGAGTTGACAGAATTTGTTGGATTTCGGTGGCCTGTGGTAAGTATGCTGACTGGAAGGGTTGGTTCCAATTTGAGTCTTGCTGAAGGTCGACAAGATGAATTTGGAATTGGAAACTGCCAGATAGATTGCCATAGCTGTAATAAACGTTGATGCTTGATAATACAGCCGCCAGCATTGGTGGATGTATTTAAAGTCAACAGCCTCAAACAACATGTAAATTTGAATGCGCATGAATCGCCAGTATGAGGTTTATAACTGGCTGTAGATGTGCCACTTGCGCGGCAGGAATGTGCATGTGGGTATGCGCTATGGAAGTCTACGGAAAAGTTTCGAAGGAAGTCGCTCCCAAGCGTGCAAAATTAAAAGCCGCGCAGGAGAACCTAAGGAAGAAGCAGACAGCGCTGAAAGCAGCTCAAGATCAGTTGGCAGAGGTCCTTGCCAAAGTCCAGGCGCTGAGGGACAAATACGATACCTCGACAGCCAAGAAGAAGGAGCTGGAGGATGAGCTGTCGGATTTAGAGGGGAAGCTCGAGCGTGCCCAGAAGCTGGTGTCCGGTGAGCGAGCGCACGTCGCAGCCGTCTGGCCACTAGCTTCGATGAATGCCTCAGGGTTAGGCTGCGGCCGAAGTTCGGTGGCCGAAGCAAGAGTGTGTTCTATTTGCCCCCGTTATCTGCGTCAGGTTCGTCCTGGATTCGTTGAATTGTCACGGCCACTTCCAATTTTCGGCTTCAGGAGATTGGAGCTGTCGTTCTATCAACGCCGAGGTTTGTTCATGTAAACATAGAGTGCTTTGCAAGCACGGAGCACCACAGGTGTGTGGAAACGGCGCAAAGTGGGCGCGCCGGTGGAACTCGATAGACAAAGCTCGTAGGATTCCTCGCGGAATCGAATTCTACCCCTTGCCATGGATGCATGCCTTTTAGGCCTTCCGCCGATGTATGCACTTTCACTACCAGAATCACCTGTTTGAGATGCGAACTGCGACGCCAATTTGACAGTAAGTTAAGCCATCACAGAGATTGCTGTGGCGTAGAAGCAGTATGGTGACATCAAATTGTGTCAAATGGCATTGCAGTTGGCATCGCGAAATGTCGTCTCCACTGCAATAGAAACGACATTTTGACAATGCCATTTTGGCGATGCCAAACACCAATTGGTGTTTGCCACGTAACTCAGCAATGCGAAATCTCGCTCACTCCCCATGCCTGCAGGCCTGGCCGGAGAGAGGACGAGGTGGGAGTCATCCATCGCCGACTTCGAGCAGCAGATGTCCAGGCTGCCTGGCGATGTCGTCATCGCCTCCGCCTTCATGTCCTACGCCGGGCCCTTCCCAAGCGAGTTCAGGCTGGAGCTGGTGCGCAACACTTGGCTGCCGCAGGTCAGGGGCCTCAATATCCCCGCCACGGAGGGCTTCGACTTCGCGCTGTTCCTGGCCAACCCCTCGGACGTGCGGGACTGGAACATACAGGGCCTCCCGGCTGACTCCTTTTCCACGGAGAACGGGGTCATGGTGACCCGGGGCCGGCGGTGGCCGCTGATGGTGGACCCCCAGGTAATGGGGATAATAATGATGAAGTTCCATCGGCTGAGCGTCAGCCACCGAGTACTATCACCACCTCGCAACACAAGAACTGCCAGCTCATTGATGATGATTACAAAAAAACGGGTCTCCACACACGGTCGCTCCCAGCCATGGGAAGCGAAGCCGTAACCAGATGCGCTACAGGACAAGCACATCAATCAAACAGTACTCACTGTAAATGTTCTCAATTAATAATATCCAATTCACCACACTTCAAGACCATGTCCCCAGTATCCAACCACACCATATTTAGCACCACGCTCCTTATAACTATTTGTTTAGTTCCTCGCCCTCGCTATGACGATGGCGATGATGACGTGATGCTGATGGTGATGATGAAACCGATGATGAAATTTCAGTATTTGCGTGTCAGCCACCGAGGGCTATGTCGCCACCCTGCCAAAGAAAAACGGTATGCCAGTGTTTGTCCCAGCGTTCGCCATCACTCATGCGCACCGCTGTCCGACTCTGCATTGAGGCCTCCGTGGTCCCACAGGTGCAGGCCAACAAGTGGATCAAGAACATGGAGGGCGCCAACGGGCTGAGGGTGCTGAGCCTGAACATGGCGGACATGGCGAGGAAGATGGAGGCAGCCATACAATTCGGGGAGCCGGTGCTGCTGCAGGACGTCATGGAGGAGATCGACCCCGTGCTGGAGCCCGTGCTGGCGAAGGCGTTCATCAAACAGGGCAACCAGACGCTCATCAAGCTCGGGGACAAGGAGGTGGGGACGGTGTCATCAAACATCAGCAGAAAACGATATTTTGTCGATACCAACTACGATGCCATTTGACACTGACTGATGCCATCACACCTACTATTATGCCATGACAACCACAGTGATGGTGCCGCTTTGTGTCAAATTTCCATCGCAGTTAGCATTGCAAGCATGGAGTTTTCTGATAGTGAAAGTGGCCTGCGCTGGTAGAAAACATTTTGAACAATGCGAACTGCGACGCCATTTCGACAGTAAGTGTTGCCAACACAGTGATTGCGATGGCACGGAAGTATCCGCGATGGCATCAGTTGGTGTCACCTGGCATCGCAGTTGGCGTCGCAACAATGGCGTTTTCTGCTGATTCTGGGGTTGAAGATGGTGATCTGATATCCGCACTGTCAGAATCCACTCATCGCCGAGTGGATTCGAACTGCGAGGAACCGAGGAGCAGTGGAGAATGTTCGCTGATTTTTGCAAAATGAGGATTGAGTCGCCGTGTGGGTGGACCAATTAAAGGACGCTGCTGTGACAGATTTTGGACGCCGCCATTGCAGAACGCAGCAGCACCATTATGCAACACCTGGGGTCTCCGATGGAGCATCCGCACCCTCCATTGGTCGTGTTTGGTGGGATTGATGCCCTTTGTGGTTAAGTTTTCCTTGCGCCAAGCACGCCATTAATTGGAGATCGGCAACGAACTGAGAGCGTTCAGCGCATGCAGCAGTTCCGCGGCTAGTCTTCAGACACCAGTAGACCTGTTGGCAATGGCAGATCCCAGATATGTCCTTGCGTCGCCGTGGACGGTGGTGGGGATTCCCACAAATCCGCGATGGCGAGATGGGCAGCCATGCGCCATCTCTGCCGGTTGTTCATCTTGATGGATGCCGGTCGTTGCGCTAGAGCCTGATCGAAGTTGGCCAGTGCCCTGAAGTAAAGAAGAGGGGCTCCACTTGTGTGTTGGGCCATCCCAGACTCAGGAACCTATTTTTTGGCGGGCGGGGGATGCCCTGGGAGAGATCAAATTCTGGACTGGAATAGCGCAGGTCCAATGCATTGCGAAATGCAGTGTACTTAATCATTACCTCAGATTGCTACTTACTATCAGTAGTTACATGTATTACATGTATAGCAGGTGTTTCGATTGCATTTTCAACAAAACCAGTTGAGGGTTCGATGTAAATTTAGCCTCACATAAAATTGTTTCATTCAGTTTGGGAGAGAAGAATTACAACATGAATGCAGCCCCGTATACACAAGGATAGTGCATACAGGCTTAAGGAGCCAGGGGAGTGGCAGGAAAACGCGCTGGATTTGGCAGAAAACGAGCTTTTGTTCTATGTCGTCGTTGTCCTTGCTAAGGGCGTGGTGGACATTGTCTTGTGGGTGCTGGAGATGGCAGAGGACTGATCATTGTACGCGACTTTCATAGTGTAACCTGGGTGTTCCAACGAGCCGTAAAAATGTGAGAATAGCAGCAAAATTTGCCCCATTCGCAAAATTACGTTTTTGCGTAATAAAACGCAAGCGTGAAAACGTAAACACAAACGCTAATACCAAGCCTGCGTGAGGCTACGGATTGTGCAATGCCTGGAATCGACATATGATAGAAAGGGCCTCAAATGATGTCAATCAGTGGCAGCCAAGTCGCGACTTGTTCGAAAACCTCCTACAAAGCGTTCAATCGTTAGCATCCAAAATAGAACAACTTGCAACCTCTCGGGCAGCCGGCATCACCTCCCATTGCTTCAATCGTACCATTTTCAATCCATCACAATCTCTGAAACGCTGGACCTTTGCCTTTCTTTAAGACTGATTGAAGCTGCGTTGCACTGTTGGTCAATATAGCCGAGTTGTAGTGGCACCGACGAAACGGCTGATCAATTTGAGGAAGGAGGTTGGGGTGTCTCTCAACTTGACGTCATTTGGACGCTAACTCGGACTTGGACTGCAAAGTCGACACAAATGTGGTTCCCTAAGGATGTGCCATCTTGCATATCTCGTCGTGTGGTTTTGGCAGCGCTGCCAATTGTGCGTGAAGCCGCCTGCCTGTACAGCAGCAACACTGCACATAAGAAAGCGATGTGTTAACGCACACAGGTCGACTACAATTTCGACTTCAAGCTGTATCTCACAACCAAGCTTGCCAACCCCCATTACACGCCCGAGATCTCAACCAAGGTCATGATCGTCAACTTCGCGGTGAAGGAGCAGGGCCTGGAGGCCCAGCTGCTCAACACGGTCGTCAAGTGCGAGAGACCCGACCTGGACAAGCAGAAGAACGACCTGGTGGTGAAGGTCGCCCAGGGCAAGCGAACCCAGGCCGAGCTGGAGGACCAGATCTTGTTCATGCTGTCCACCGCCACGGGCTCTCTGCTGGACAACGTGGAGCTGATCAGCACGCTGGATCAGTCGAAAGTGACTTGGGAGGAAGTGAACGAGTCTCTAAAAGTTGCAGAGGAGACCTCCGTGAAGATAGAGGCCGCCTCGCAGCAGTACCAGCCCTGCGCCCTGAGGGCCTCCATCCTGTACTTTGTGCTGAACGACCTGTCCGGCATCGACCCCATGTACCAGTTTTCGCTGGACGCGTACAACGACCTGTTTCTACTATCCATAAAAAACAGCCCCAAGAACGACAACCTCCAGGAGCGGATCAAGCACCTCAACGACTACCACACCTACGCGGTTTACAGGTACGTGGCGGCACATTTGCGGATATCCTTGCAAAATTTCTACGTCTGCGCGAAGTCTTTGTAAGAAATTTTCGAACTAGAACTCTTTTGAACTTGAGTGCTATCGCTGAATGCGCAGTGGTTTCCGAATGTGGTCAAGTCAAGGCTCCCCGAAATGGCTTTATTGTCCATTTGGCAGAAAGGGTGGTGCCCTGCCAGTCAACGGCATCTTCGGCGGCATTTTGTGTGCCAAGATGCCTGCAAGTGAGCGTCAAGTTAATGAACATGGTGGCCGCGTGGGAACAGTGGGTGCGGTCGTTTGGTTGAGGGATCAGATGGGCCCCGGACGGTCTTGGACCAACTGATATTCACGGCTGACGAGCGCCATGTGCAACAACAGGTACACAGCGCGGGGTCTGTTCGAGCGCCACAAACTGCTGCTGTCCCTTCAGATGTGCATGCGCATCCTTCAGTCCTCCAAGCAGATCAACATCGAGGAGTGGCAGTTCTTCCTCAAGGGCGGCTCCGTTCTGGACCGCTCCCTCCAGCCTCAGAACCCCGCCAGGGCTTGGCTCTCCGAGATGGCGTGGGACAACATCACCGAGCTGGCCAACCTGCCCAACTTCAAGGGCATCAGCGACAGCTTCGAGGCGTCGCCCGGCGCATGGGAGGCCTGGTACCGGGAGAACGAGCCCGAGGTGGCGGAGCTGCCCGGGGAGTGGGAGCCCAAGTGCAACGAGCTCCAGCGCATGGTCCTGGTGCGGTCCCTGAGGCCCGACAGGGTCATCTTCGCGGCCACGACGTACGTCGCCAACTCCCTGGGGCGGAAGTTCGTCGAGCCGCCCGTGCTGGACCTGGGCGAGACGTTCAACGACTCCACGCCCTTCTCGCCCCTCATATTCGTCCTCTCCCCCGGCGTGGACCCCACCGACGCCCTCAGGAAGCTGGCTCACGAGATCGGCTTCGACGACAGGCTGTTCACCGTGGCGCTGGGCCAGGGCCAGGCGCCCGTGGCCACGCGGCTGATCGAGGAGGGCATGAAGGGCGGCACGTGGGTGTTCCTGGCCAACTGCCACCTGATGACCAGCTGGCTGCCCACCCTGGACAAGATCATCGAGGGCATGGAGGGGCAGCGGCCGCACGAGGACTTCCGCCTGTGGCTGTCCAGCAGCCCGTCGCCCAAGTTCCCCATGGCCATCCTGCAGAGGGGCATCAAGATGACCACGGAGCCGCCCAAGGGCCTGCGCGCCAACCTGTTCAGGTTGTACAACACCATCACGGAGGACGGTTTCGCGGAGTGCAGGACGCAGCACAAGTACCAGAAGCTGCTGTTCTCGCTGGCTTACTTCCACAGCGTGCTCCTCGAGCGCCGGAAGTTTAGGACCTTGGGACTGAACATCCCGTACGACTTCAACGACACCGACTTTAAGGTGGCGCTTCTCAAGATCTGCGAGCCCGGCAGCTTCTGAGCCTCCCCCTCGTTGCTTGCGCACGCGCTGCGTTGCATCCGCCGGAGGTGTTCAGAGTTCATGCAGCTGTGCATCTAGGTATTTCTCAAAGACAGGTAGTGTCCACTAGCGCAGTTACTGATCTGCTTGAGATTGGATGCATGAGCGTATCCCTAAAAGCAGCGCGAACGCGCGAATGTGCTTGAGATGGTCGGCGCAGTCTCATGTGTGCATGGGGTGGCTGTCCGGCTGTTCTACTGAACAACGCTCGAGGTCATACGCAATCCATTCCTTTCATTCCCTTCTTCAGGTGTCGGATGACCTGCTGAAGTCGTACTTGGACAGCTACGAGGAGACCCCCTGGGACGCCCTGAAGTACCTCATCGCCGAGGCCAACTACGGCGGCAGGGTCACGGACGAGCTGGACCGCCGCGTCCTCAACAGCTACCTCAGCAAGTTCTACTGCGAGGCGGCGCTGGCCAAGTCCAACTACCCCCTGTCCCCCCTGCCCACCTACTACATTCCCGACAACGGCAGCCTGCAGATCTTCAAGGACTACATCGTCACCTTGCCGGCGACGGACAGGCCGGAGGCCTTCGGCCAGCACCCCAACGCCGAGATTTCGTACCTGCGGGAGGACAGCAAGATCGTGCTGGACTGCCTGCTGTCGCTGCAGCCGGCGTCCGCCGGCGGTGGCGGCGCCGTGAGCAGGGAGGAGCTTGTGCTGGGCATCGCGCAGGACCTGCTGGAGCAGGTGCCCGCGCCGTTCAACCTGGAGGAGGTGATGAAGAGGAAGGCGGAGGACCCGTCTGCGCTGCACGTCGTGCTGTTCCAGGTGGGGGTTCGTGTCGAAGCCCGCGGGCGCGCTGGGCGCGCGGTCTGCGTGCTGAGTGCTGTCCCTTTTGTGCCCATTTAGTCTCGGAAGTTGTCTGACCTGATACGTGTTTCTGCCGCTTGTATGGGAACTGGCAGCTGCTGTGCACTTTCTCAAGGTAGAGCAGTGCTTGTATTCGGTGTCATGTGAATGAATTAGTAAGTCTATCCTGAAAGGCAACGGCTCAATGGTCATGTCATCTGCCTTTGCTCACATCAGGTCGTCAGACAACAACAGGCTTGTATTAGCTCACAAAATTGCCTCATGATTCTTGGCGATAATGCCCCAACCTGCACAACATCATGCTACTTAAGTATACAGATGGGCCAGCAGGAAACACCAGATTGCACTCAATGTTTGTTCATCGCCCCGCCCGTTGTCCATCCCGACGCCCTGCATTCTGCATCGTGTGCAGTAGCTCAAACCACCACCATGTAGACTTTTCGGCTGGGTCGATGAGCTTGCACATGTTCCCAGCGTTCGACAAGCACATCTTGCATGACACTTGCCTGCAGACCTGCTTCAGTTTGGGGTGGACAAACAAGTCACCAAACACAAAAAAAGAAACTTCGTCACGTCATCAAGAAGGAATCGCAGACCTGTTCCGCTGCCGGGGCCAGACTTCCGGTGCTGGATGCCGACGAATGGCATTCGACGTGCGCGCGCCACACCACACGGACAATCCACGTTACATTGTGCTGCCTGCTGCACACCACAAGGGGCCGATCATGCAGAGGCATTGTCGGTCCAAACATGTGGGTCACACTTGCAAAAACCACCATTTGGGACATGTCAACTGTGACGCATTTTGCACGCATGCACCCAGGAGGTCGAGCGGTACAACATCCTTCTGGTGAAGGCCCGCCACTCGTGCCGTGAGCTCATCAAGGGCATCAAGGGCCTGGTGGTCATGTCCGCCGACCTGGACCTCGTCTTCGACGCCCTCTTCAACGCGCGCGTGCCGGCGGCCTGGCTGAAGACGTACGCCTCCCTCAAGCCCCTGGGCTCGTGGACGAGGGACCTGCTGATGCGCGTCGAGCAGCTGGCCAGGTGGGTGGAGGACACCTACCCCAAGGTGTACTGGCTCTCCGGCTTCACCTACCCAACGGGCTTCCTAACGGCCGTCCTGCAGACGACCGCCAGGCGGAGCTCCATACCCATTGACACGCTGTCCTTCGAGTTCAGCATCGTGAACCTGACGGAGAAGGAGATTCTTCAAGCGCCCAAGGACGGAGTGTATGTCAAGGGGATGTTTCTGGAGGGGGCGGGGTGGGACGCGGAGAACGGGTGCTTGTGCGAGCCCCAGCCCATGGAGCTGGTGGTGCCCATGCCCATCGTGCTGTTCCGGCCGGCCGAGAACAAGAAGAAGTCGCAGAAGGGCGTGTACGTGTGCCCGCTGTACATGTATCCCATCCGCACGGGCAGCCGGGAGAGGCCCTCGTTCATGATCAACGTGGATCTGAAATCCGGGCTAGCGGATCCGGACCATTGGATCATGAGGGGCACTGCCCTGCTGCTGTCGCTGGCCACTTGAGGGGTGTTTTTGTGGATTTCATGGGGATTCTTTGGTAAGGCGGGTGTAGTGGGGCGAATATTTCTTGAGGTCAGGGCGGTGTACTTGCAAAACTAGTGTTTCAGCAGAGGGGCGAGATTCGGATCGGTGTACAGTGTACACTATCAGCATCTGGTCGTGTGGTGGGGGGATGTTCTTCAGTTTCTGAGCGGTTGTGCGACTGTGATTGGCGCGTTGTGCCGAAATTTAGATGTGGCATTGTTTCTTCAATGTCTTTTCCACATTGTGCCACACTGTGGCTTGCGCTCTTCTGCCTATGGAAGGCCAAATGTAATGTGGGCACCGCACTCGTCGCAGGACGTAAAGGCAACGGTATCATGATCAGACAAAGCACGACAGTAGTAGCGCCCGTTGCAATGTAAAAGACGGCCTCCCATAACAACAAACAGCACTGGCGACGGTCAACAAACACATAATTCAAAGTAATTGAAAGTATGGATGCGCCCGCAATGGCCAATGTATGTATTTCGTTGTATGCATACATCAATGTGTAGTATGCATGCGCCAATTCTCCTTTTCCTGAATGTTGGACCTAGGTTCGCTTCTGGGCTTTTCCCGTTTTGTCACTTCTCCATGAGCAGTAATGCTTGTCAGGGCCAGGGTGTCTTCTTGGTGGTTGGGACTGTCCACAGGCAGTACACAGACTTGCAATGGTGTTCTGCATGGCAATCCTGGCATCCTTCTCCGCAAGTGTCCAATGAGCCCAGTCCATTAGCGCATTTGCCCAATGCTTCGTTCCTCGCTTCACATATGTTATGCATACAACGACAAGTCAAGAGCACGTAGAAGGGCAACAACGCAAATGCATACATCAGCATTACTATTTTTGTTTGCTCCCAGTTGTTCCCTACGCAGAGGGGCATCTGACTAATTGCTGAAAGATTGTTGTCATGCCTGTCAAATTTAAACCGGTCAATTAGAAGACTGCAAGCGCAGCAAGAAGGCTGCTATATACTATCTCGAGTGGTATGAGCGACTCCTCAGTCATGTTTTTGGATGTTTGCAGCACCGGCACGTGTTGATTTCGCCATCCGTGGGGGCATTCGGCCCATTAAATGCATTTGAATTCCTAGATTTCACGCGCACATGAGCCTCATTCCAAGTTTGTCCACTTCCCATCACATTTCCATTTCACCCCACTTCATTACCACCTTCGCCCACGGAATCACTCAATTTCTGTTCCCTGTCCGCAATCGAATTTCGCCTTTGAAACAGTCAAATTAAAACTGGAGAGCGAAACCAGGTGTGAAATGCAATCTATTTCAGATGTAGGATAAGGGAACTTTTGCTGACCCGGGCGGCACATCACGGGCCGCGTTCCGTTGGATATCTTCAAGGCAGCTACTCAACCTCAAATCAGCGATGCACCTGCTTCCGGGCAGCCACAACACGATGGCAGGTCTTGTGGCGTGCATCCTGTGTTTCAAACGAAGATAGGGTGATCATGCAGACCAGGGACACGCACCAGACTTGGTACTGCAAAGGCTGAAGAACTGGGAAAGGTGCAAAAGCTTGCACGCCTAGATGAAGAAGCGCCCTTACTACGCTGTAGAAGATTTGAAGCGTTTCAGGCTGTTTTGATGTTGTTTTGAAGACGACCTGGGACTTGGTTCGTCATTTGCCTTCCTGCATTTAAGAAAATACTCATGCGTGCATGTCCACGCTTGGTTGCTTTGGCCCAGCGCATCGCACATTGTCGTAGACAATCGCCCGCAAGGCCACGTCATCGGCAAACCTACAGCGGCGCCTTGGCCGCGGAATTTGGAGGTGGGTGGTTGACTAAGACGATCGCGGGTTTCTCGGCAACGTGGGTGACTCTCAACGCGGGGGGGCCGCACCTTTATCATGCGAAAGTACTGCCATGGTGACCCTTGTTTCGGTAAGTTAGGAATGCTACTCATCAAGCCAACGAGGTAGCCGCTATCTCCCCATGGTAGCCAAGGGAAGCAGTATCTATTGCCGGTTCACTGAAATCAAAGGCATGGCACAAATAGGATCCGTATTCAACCAATTCAAATTCCTACGAGTCATTGTCGATAGTGAATTCACTGAGTGATGTGTTCTTACCAGTTGGCGAGGGGGAAATAAATGATTTTGAACTGTTGAGTCGAAAGGACTCGATCTCTCCGGGGGTCGGCGTACGCCCTTCGTAGGCACGGCGGCAATGGACACAATGTGTCACCTTCTGCAGCTGATGGATGCAATTGACGTAATCCGCTTCATGATTGCGAAGTATGCCTCTTATTCAAAATCGCCAATGAAATGCACGGTTTGGCCATAAAAAACGTGCACGTTTTGGATCTATTTCGAACAATTACACTACATTCCGTTTAATCTGGTGAAGTAATGGCCGCGAGCTGGGAACTGCGTCCTGCGAAACTGGGATCTGCACATCGCAGCACCTAGGAAGTTGAGAACACTGTGGACGGAGCGAACGGAGATGCAGGAGATTCACATAAGGATGGCCACGCACGCCACGGTTTCACAAAGGAGAGGGTCATGTTTGTGTGTAGCGGTATTGTTGTGACGGGTGGCTATGGGCATTCGTTGCGTGTTGGATGTGGTCGAAATTATGCGGCTCTCGTATACAATTATCTTATTTTCCTTTTTAAACACCAATTTTCCTATAATCTTGGAATTGTGTCACCTTTATTCCTAGACTTGTGGTTGGTCGGAATTGTACACGTCTCACGTACGACACTTTCCTCCACTCTGTAACCCTTGCTGTGGAGTCTTTGCAGTGTAATAGCTCTCTTCCCCAGCATTTTTGATCTTTTCCCATGCCTTTGTCTGGCGGATAATGTGCGCGACATGTGAGCGCTTTTCTTTTTCATTATTGTAGCCCTTGGTGTAAGATCTTAGAATTGTATTAGGTTCTCTAATCGCTAATTCTGTCTTTAGTGCCAGAACTGTGGTCGGTAAAATCTGCAGGTAATACGCGTCAATTTTCTTACACCCCTTTCCAAACCTTGCCCCATAATCTTCTTACAGTATCAGCTTCTTGCATCAACATGCCTTCCCTTCTCGCAAGCTGGCGCAACTCAGTACAATTTTGCTCCTCAACTTCGCACCCCTTGCCATAGAATCTTGGCATTGCATCACCTTCCGTACCCCTCACATTATCTTCATTGCCAGATCTGTAGCTGGCCGAGGTAGCACATGACCCACGTGCAATTTCTCTCCTCCTCCTTGCTCTCCTTGCTTTCCTTGCTCTCCTTGCTCTCCTTGCTCTCCTTGCTCTCCTTGCTCCAGAATCTGAGCATTGTGTCAGCTCCCCTTAGAATTCTCTCCATAGTTCTGAATTGAACCCCACCCGTGTGCAAAATTTTCCCTCCTTTGTGCACCCTTGCTCTAGGCTCTTGGCATTGTATGAGATTCCCCAACGGCTTCTTCTGTCCTCATTTCTAGATCTGTGGCTGGTCTAAATTGTGTGCGGCTCACGTGCAAGTCCCTTCCTCCCTTTCGCACCATTGGCCTAGAATCAGGGCATTGTATCAGCTTCGCTTTCGCAACAATATTTCTACATATTCAAGGCTGTGGGTTTGCCAGAACTATATGTGGCTGTGGTACAAATATCTCCCTCCCTTCTGCGCCCCTTGCTCTAGAATACCGGGCAAGTCAGCATGGAGATAAGCTTATCTCGGAATCCTATCCCACAAATTTTGTCGTTATGTTCAGAGCTGTGGATGGCTGAAATTGTGCGCGATTCATGCCCAGTTTGCTTCCCCATCTCTCCACCCCTTGACGTAGAATCCAAGCACTGTATTACTAATGCAGTGCTAATAGCTAATAGCTTCCCTTCTCCAACATTCTTTTCGTATTTCCAAGGCTGTGGCTTGTAAAAGATCGCAGCCGACTGGCGTATAATTTTCCTTTGGCCCTATGCGGCCCTTGCGCGCTAATATTCGTGCATCGTTTTATTTTAATATTATCAACATTTTGTGTCCCTTTCCCGTTTTGTGCTCGATCGTAATTGTGGGCGAATCGCATTTGGTTTTCTTCTTGTATTTTCGCACTCTTGTCCCACATTGCGGTACCCGGAATCGGTCACAACAACTTCAGTGGCCGGCCTCCCGGCGGCGTTGAGATGATGCAAACTGCAAGGTACGTTGTTTTGTGCAAATTGCGTTGGTGCATATATCCGGCTGGCCCAGAATAATGAGATGGATGACATAGGAGGAGTGCCCCCGAGCCCAGGTTGGCCGGGCGGGAGGCCGCGGGGCAGGGGGCCAAGGAGGGGGAGGGGGGGCCCAAAAAAAAGAAAAAAATGAGGCGTCGGTCAGCCGGTAACAAGGGGTTTGTCCAAGGGGGTGGGATGAGGGGGCCTCCCTTCTCCAGGGCAAGGAAAAGAGGAGGTGGGGTAGGTGCCCCTGGATTAGGATGAGGGACACAACCCCGGACAATCGATTGATAGATTTGCGTTTCACAGGGGTGTTCGGCCAGGTGCAGCGGCCATAGGGATGAGCCTCCTGTGGGGCGAGTCGGATAGGACGTGACGGCCACAGGCCGTGGGCCCGGCCCACCCACGGGGGTGGGGTACGGGACAAGGCCCGGTCCACCCAATAGGGGTGGAGCACGGGAGCAGGAGGACAAAGAAGGGACATCCGAGGCTGCCCACGGGCCTGGGACAGCTAGATGCCCCAAGCCAGTAAGGGACAGGGTCACAGGCACATTCTCGTGAAAGCTGCGTGTGGGCCAGGGCCATGATATGGCAGCGCGGCAGGCCCATAGGCAATAGGCGGCAGCCCTTCCACGCGCTCGTATTTGCTGTTGTATGGACAACCGTGACATGTGTTCTGACTGTATCTTGTGTGTGTGCAGGGGACGGGGATTACGGGCAACTCTCCAGTGGCCCGTAGAAGTAGGCTATCGTAACGGTGGCCTACCACCCCTGTCCCCACGGATATTGCTTGCCCAGGCGTTGAGGCTCCATTGCAGACCCACGGCAAACCGCATTCACCGGGGATGACAAGAGCCACAGTGGAGGGTGGATACACAGATGCTCGCCATGCACGCTGATGGGGGCGGAGCTGTATGGTGGCCCAATTCGTGGAGCCAAGTAAGCACTTTTTGGAGGCTGGTTGAGAGGGGAGGCATTCAAGAAAAAGAGGACCGATGTACACCACAGTTGGGACATCCATCACAGACATGCCGATGCATCCAAGCACTGTGGCCAACGCATCGTCTGGCGTTCAGCAAGTCAACAATTCACGAATCATATTCTGTACTGAACGCTGCCTGTGGAGATGTGGGTGGGCAGGCCATGGGGAGAGCTAGGCATTGAGGAGTGGCAGGTTGCTCCCGCCACTTCCATACCATGATTGACTGTTTTCGACCAACCAAGCCCAGTCTTCAACGAGGACGCTGAAGCAACCAACAACGCGAGGGGCGCCATCTACCAGGTGACCCCTTTTCAAATTCGCGCAACCACTTGGGGGTTAACTACCTTCAGTCTGCCATCTTGGAGAGCAGGTTCCCAAGTGGCGCGGACTTCACGACACCGAGGACTGTGCGACATCAGCTCAAGCCCACACATGTTGTCCGCAATGACTGCCTCTGTGGGGCACAGGCCCATCCCAGCAGAGGCGCGTGAGTTGAGCGTCAATGGCGCTGGTGATTCACGCAATGTTGGCCCAACAATGTTGGATCGAGCGCCTGTGCCGCCCCCAAGGCGCAATCTTGGCTATCGGCATTACTGATTTGCGCTGTTGGAGAGGGGCACCTGCATGCACTCAGTAATCGTCTAAGCACAATGATGCTTCTCCGGCAAACAAATAGGCTTCAATGCGCACGATCACTATGAATTCCAGGAAGCAGAGGATGCTCTTTAATCCAACCTTGATGGAAATACATTCGACTCCACGATGATCCTCGCGACACGAGCTTGGCTCAATAATCGTTTCTGGACGTGCAGTGTATAAGGGTATGCGGTATTGGGTCTAGTGCAGCGTGACATGCGCTTGAGAGTAAATGTGTTGCGATGCTTCTTTAAGGGGACCCTGTGGTGGTGTGCCCATACGGGTTCTAAGACGAATATTGCGATCCATGCACGCAAGTGTGCACATCCTGCGAAATGCGAGGGCGCGTGTGCATGACAAATGCCCGTTGTGTGTCACGTGCCCCGAGTCACAGGCAAGCCCAAGCTGCAGCACGCACAACGCAATGGGCACCATTGCCAGGCCGACGACAACAACACCTGTAAAGGAGAAGGACGTCCCTAGACGATATTGCAACGCAAGACTGAGGCCACAGAAGAGTCGTTCGACGAGATGACAGCCAAACCATCAAAGAAGGCCAAAGGCATCGCAACGCGTTCTGCAAGGACGATGCTCCGGCTGGCGTCCATTCTTCGACGGCCAGCAGCGAAGGAACGACCGCGGGCGAGCCACTGTGAATTCGGTGGGCCACATCGTGGAATGCCTCATCGACCACTTGTGCATCAATTTGGCTCCCTTAGTTGTGCCCTGCGGCGTGGAGCACTGCGGAAATGCGCGGATTCCTGTGTCAATGAAACTTGATGCATGGGCTGCCTCAGGGAGCGTGTGACGAGGGGCAGCGCTTTGATGATACATCCCGAACCGCCCCTGGCTGATACAGCCTCATTCAATTTGTGTTCGCTTTCACGCTGCGAATCAATTTTTCGAGTACCTGCGCTGACAGTGTCGCTAATCCTCTTTGGAATGAAAATGGTGGCATAAATTACTGTAAAGTACTGAGCTTTCTATCGCTTTTTCCAAAACAGGGTTGATGTTGTGTTGTTGGATTGCGCACGTTCGGCATCGAACAACACGAGCGTGAGACATGTAACGCGAAAAGCATTCCAACTCTTTGTTCTGTTCATTGCACATCGCCCATGCGGCACAATGCGGTCGTCAGAGCGCCGCCTGCGCACCAGTCAGTGCCAAAAGTCCCTGTGGCAGTCTGTGCATGTTTTACTCTCGATGATAGCCACAGATAATTCGATCATCAACCTCCCAACTCAATCCCACATTCCTGAGACTTTGCATACGGCATCTGAGTTCAGCCCTTGGGCGTGAACATTGGGCAACGTTCGCAGGTCAGACCTTGATGGCAACACCCGCCGCTTCGAATTCGGGGGCCTCAATGCGGACAGAGCATCAAGAGGATCACATAAGACTCACCAAGCCATGGGAGCGCCACCCGATACATGCATGCACAGTCTGCGTGGGTGCCCACTTCTTGAAGCCATCCTGGAGCCTGAAGACTGGGGACTGAAGGAGCCAAACTCGCTTCTTCCCGGGACTTCATACCACACCACACTCAGCCATGTCGGCACTGGCGAGACCCAGCCACTGCCGGCCCTCTCTTGAACTGCGCCGTAACTTGCTCCACACAGCAATTGGCCCTGCAGGTGGGTGATTCTGTGTGCGCCTCCTCTGCAACCCGACCTGGGGGACCAGGTCGCACCTTGGCAGGCGTGTGAACGGTATTTTCCACGAGGGCGGCTGCCCGCCGGCGCGAATGCAACACCCCATGCGCATTTGTCAGTGACATCTCACCAACAATGAAATGAAGGTTTGCTTGATGGTCGCCACGCAGCTTGTGTTAAGCGTCCCCCAAGTTGGCTGCCCACGAGCGAGCACACTGCCTCGCAGTTAAATGTACATTAACACAACTTCACAATTCAGTTGGAACAAAATGTGGGGCTGACTGGACATTTGCCTTATCGACCTTCGGAATCCCCGCCTGGGCCTCCCAGGAAGTTTTCACAATTGCATTTCACAGACCATGCCCCGTGTGCAACATCTGAGCTCCACAAGCAGCGCACTTTTCAGCAATTCTCTGCTATATGCGGCAGGCCTGCACAGCGGTTCCTGAGGGCCAGGGAAGCTTCATCGAAGGAGGACAGCCATACCACAAGGCCGACCGCACTTCGTGCCCCAGAAGTCTCGGTGCGCTACATGCTGCGGCATGCAACACGCCATGGCCGGCATCAACGGAAGCAGCCCCCAACAAGCGCCATTCACTCAAAAGGGGCGCACACTGAAGGGCGGATTTTGTGGAGGGCCATCCAGCCCGAGACACCAGCTCGCCGCCAACTCTTCTGCATGTGCTTGGGGCGAAGCAGTGCCGTTCCCTCCAACAACGCATGGACCACCCAGTACCACGTTGTGATAAGCAATCAGCTGCACATTGTGCACTCGAAAGCGAAAAGCAATAGTCTGCCTGAATGAGCCTATCCATGTCCGGATCCACATTTGCCGTCGATACGCCAAGCGCCATTATGGGTGCATCTTTGAAAAAGGCCTTCATAATGCGGCGCGCTGCATACCGGCACATTTTTTCATATGACCGGCAGCTTTTGCATAATGTTCCAGCGGCAGACCACAATACAAGAATGGAACACACACAAGCAATCACAATGCAAATAGTGAACGCACATTATGTATTGAACCTGAGTGGAACTGAACCGATTGACAACCCAAAACTGGGAATTTTCAAGCTCCGTCGTTCCCAGAAACTGAAGGAATGGAAACTGAGCAGGTCGCCAATTCTCTCGACAGAAAATCTGAGCGTGAATGCACCTTGCCGTCGCTCATTTGGCCACGTGGAAGCTCAGGGCCAATCGGCGTTCTGAGGTGTAGGCATGTTGCAAATCAAGGCCCGTATCAAACTCGTGCTGGCTGCCACTGCCAGCACTGAAAGCTTTCTGCGATCACATCCGCAGCCCCTCTGAAGTGACGGTTGCTGCACAGCAACCCCTGCGTGCGTGCGTGCGTGTGTGTGTGGGGTGGTTGGTGGGTGGGGGGGTGGGGGTCCCCAATCGCAAAAGCTATACTTGCAATGTTTGAATCCTTGCCTCGCAAACAGAGGCAGTCCCTTCGATGGATTCTGAACAACCCTTCCCTTGGGTTCTGCAAAAGCGATGCCAGGCATGATTTCCACTGTCATTCTATGTCCGAGCGTGTTGGTGCACTTGCTTCCCCGCCCTTGGGTTTCAGAACATTCGGCGTGGGCGTTTAGTGGGGCAATACAGGAGAATTGGAGGCTGTCCGCAACAGAACAGCGCGTTTCAGGCAGAAGGTTCTACTCCCATCATTTTTTGATGCAAATGTCCAGCATTCCCAGTGCATCAGCGCACTTCCCCAATACTTCGTTCCCTGCTTCACATGCAAGTGTAGCCGGGTCCGCCGCCACCCTCCGGGGTCGTCCACTTGATGTTCTGCGCGGGGTCCTTTATATCACACGCCTTGCAGTGCAGGCAGTTCTGGGCGCTGATCTGCAGGGCCTCGTGACCCGAGCCGTCGTCTACGTAGTCATAAACCCCAGCAGGGCAGTACCTCGACTCCGGTCCATTGTAAATGGCTTTGTTCACGACTTCAGGAATGCCAGTGTTGAGCAGTTTGAGGTGCGGTGGTTGATCGTGCTCGTGGTTCGTCCCACTGCGATACAGGGAGGACGGGATGTCAAATGTGATTTCGTTGTCAGGCTTGGGGTACTGGATCGGGGCGAAGTCTGCGGCTGGCTGCGTTGCCTCATGGTCCTCTCGTCTTTGAAACACACACGATCGGCCATCAGGACACATCAGAGCAAAAGCAGAAATGCATCTTCATCTGTGTGCCCACGAGAAGTACAAATGTACTTTACTTGATGCACCAAATCAGGGACAGACATACAGACGGCCGTGTCCACTCGCTCTCAGAAACACGCAATCGGCCCACAACATGCAGCAAGACAACGGCGCCTATACATCCATCAGCAGGACTAATGTGCATTTGCTCACATTTGCCACATACATATTGGGGCAACCAGCTGATGAAACAAGAGGAGCATCTTCCCCATTGGAGGCATTCACTCAGTGCTGATAGCACAGTACCTCTGGTGGTTACCATACCCCAAGTCTGACCTACTAGAAGACTACAAATTCAGCAACAAAGGCTGTGATTTAAAATGGATTGTCCCCACTTGGCTGGCACCACCTGTGGTTCTGCAGCCATGTAGGATGCCTGCAACACTGACATGTGCTGGCTTTGGCGATCTGAGAAGCCTGGTGCATGTGGCTCAAACGAGGTAGGACAAATGACCAGAAACAGCTCACACAACAACCACGTTCTGAGTTCGTCCACTTCTCGCCTTGAAGCGCCAACAAAGCAACCATGCTTGCCACCAATCAAAGCAGCCAAAGTGTTTGACAATGTCCTGCTATGTTCCCCCCTGAAATACCTCAATCTCCACTAGAAGCGTCCATGACTTGCGACAAGAGTGATACTTACAAATGTGGAAACAGAGCTAGGCCAGAACAGAGGAATACCGATGACAAACTCAAAACACCGAATAACCCACCTGTGTCTCATAGTCCAAGGCACACTGCCACGAAGAAGAAACAAGTCAAGTCCAGCGTGTGCCAATCCCAGCCATTTTCCATGTCTGAATACTGCACGAATGTTTCGGACGGCATGCAGCTCATCCCAAACCCATGACTCTTTCATCGCAGCCGGGTAGGATGCCAAGTCCAGAGGTCCCTGGAGACAGTCGCAACAATAGTGTCTTTTCCACATCATAGTCAAGTGTGCCAGTGCTGTCTCGTTTACACAAAGCAGGGATGTGGGCCATGTGACAACCCATGGCAAATGCAAGGGCAAGTTGTTGCCCACATGTGTCCAGCAACTGTAGTAGAGTTGAAATGCTACTTTTTTGCAGTCAACTTCTTGGCATCACATCCGCTAAACACGTGCTGACAACACTGCTCTCTAAACAGCAAGGCAGTACAGCACTGAAGACAATTGTTGGGGGCCCACTCACTGGATTTTCCTTCTTCAGCGCAGATACAACTGCTTCCCCTGCCAGAATACCTGACTTCATGGCAGTATGCGTACCCTTGATTCTGGGAACATTCATGAACCCAGCTGAGCACCCAATAAGGGCCCCACCTGCAAAGTTAAGCTTTGGGATAGACTGAACGCCGCCTGCCCAGAGCAAAAGCACACATAAGAAGATTACAAAGGACAAAAATTAACATCAATGAACTCACCAATCCCATCATAGTTGTGTTCAAATGACAAATAAGAGCTCAAGATGAGTATCCCAGTGGACCACCACAAATTCGTTGTACTGGAAGCTCACAAGCCGGAAATCACATATTTGGACATCCTTGTTCCACAACAAACGAAAGGCTACTTATGCGTATTGCAGCAACTGCAGTTTGTATTTGGCATGCACAGTATCACCACCCAAGTGCTCCCACCGAAGTGCATCGTCTGGCACACGCACCTTCATTCAAAGCCCTTGCCCCATACTGAACACATGTACCTCCCGCCAGCACCTTCTTAATGGCTGGGTGGAGTTTGAATTTCTGAAATTCTTGGTATGGGCTGATGTATGGGTTGCGGTAGTCCAGGCCTACCACAAATCCCACGCTCACACGGTTTTCAGCCATGTGGTACATGAAGCCGCCACCATACGTTTGGGAATCAAGAGGGTATCCCAGTGTGTGCCATACGGTGCCTTCCCTGTGGTTCAAGGCTGGAACCTGCAGCACAAGAGGCAGCGGAGAAGTGCCTGATGCCTTGGAGGTGTTTTCGATCGAATTCGTGGCCAAAATTGTCAAATCTGCCTTCATTTGCTCAGTGGCACAGACACGAATGAAGAAAACTGACTTTGCGTCCACAGGCATTTGCAGGTAGGCCGTTTGTCATGTGCAGAGCACATCCCTGGAAGCTCAATGCCACAATCCTGCTCTTCACTTGTGGGACACAATCAGCAGGAGTCCGGTGTCCACCCTTGAATCAAATAAGCATTGCCCAAAGCAAGTGACCACACAAAGAGAGCAATGTGGGAGCTGCAGGCAGCAAACTGGCAGCAAACAGATCAAGAAACCTTGGTAGTTCAGTGGATATCCGAAGAGATCCATGATTGGAAAATGGCAAAACACAGGTGCCTTGTAGGGTCAGAAAGTAACCAGTTAATCGTGCCGCACACCTCCCACATCTCCTTTATTCCCAACGCATAAGTTTGAGGATCAGCACCTTCTTCTTCCCTCAGCTTATACGTCTTTATAACTTCCTGCAGCAATGCAACAAGCGCCCTCATCAGTAAGTACAGTTGGAGCAAGTGCTATTTGCAACTGTCCTTTCAAGCAGCGACATGCAAATACTGCCAGCCAAACCCCCACTGCTGACAAGGGTCCCAAGTCAGGAAAGTCTCACAAGTTTAAAGAAAACTGCCCATACATCGCATCAAAGAACACACCATATCCACAAAAAGGGATGCAAACCCACTTTGTTATTCATGCACAAAAGTGCACTTTGCAGGTGTCGATCCGGACACACATGAAGACAAGGCAGACTGACAACCTACCTCCCCTATTGCCCATCTACCTGCGACAGCGACCCACGGCAGCCCTCTGCCAACAGAGTCGCCTTTGCCCTCAGCTCGACGCCAGCCATGTATCCAGCCTTGGCTGAGCCATCTTTAGCAACCCCTGCATCGTTCGTCAGGATGCCGCCAACACTGCCATCAGGGTTGTACAGCATGGCCCGGCCTGCAAAGCCTGTGTACACCTCCACTCCAAGGTCCTCAGCTCTCCCTGCCATCCATCGGCACAACTCACTAAAACACACCAGACAAAAAGCGTTGAACATATTCACTTGTGAACCTCAGAGTCACAGTGAACAATTGGGGCAACATACTGTGCACGAATATTTTTTTATTAGCTTTATAGGCGGCTAAGCACGCACTGTAAATTTTGAAAAAACTGGCAAAACAAGCATACCAGAACAAGGGTTCGGAACATAAGCTGGCTGAGCATCGCAACAACCAATTAACACAACATTACACTTGATGCAGCAGACGCCTAGAACAAGCAAATGGGAAATAAAAACATTTTTGAGTGTGGAACAGTGTAATTGCAGCTGTTTGTGGGAGTAATGCCACAATGCAGGCAACATTTCAAGGTATCAGAGCTTCGAAACAACAGCACTCAACATCGACGAGAGTAGAATGTGGATACACTCTACACATTAAACACATTCATCTTTCCAACAATGAGGAATCTTCAAATCGCTACGACACTAACAAGTTGCATTTCTCAGACACAGCCAAGGGATGTCTTGCATCACCGATATGATCATCAGAGACTCTAGTCCACATCCAGGCAGTCATCATCAAAGTGTACAGCTATATGTCCACCTTCACAATGCGAGTCACAGAGGATGAACTTGTTTTACTACATTTGTCCATCAAATACGATGCCAACTTCTCTGCACACATGACATCTGTTGAAGCAACTAGGTAGGCAGGCCAGACCCAGAACCCAACGATTGTGGGCTCAGTGTATCTGATCAGCTTATGCAGGACTTCTCAGACAGCCAAGGGATGGTGTCGTCACTGATCTGATCGTCAGAGACTCTAGTCCAAATCCAGGTGTTCATCATCAAAGTCCAAAGCTGATTATCAAGCTGATCATCTGCTGCAACGTACATCCATGGTTCATGAACTACGTCGCTATGAGAAAGGCACCAGTTGCTGACATTTCCATAGAATGCTTCTGGATGTCAGTACCTCAGTGCCTATGACTGGTCTCTGATCACGTTCATAGCGTAACTTCAGTAAAATGGGGGTTAAACAGTCCAGTACAAGGGTGGGCCCAAAACTGCATGCCCCGATATCACCACTACCCTGGCTGCATCCTGATTTGGGATGGCAAAAGTGGAGCACTGAATGCATGTTGGGCAGAAAAATACTGTGGATGCATATCTGGAGATCATTGCCTGCAAGATGCAAGGGCTCTGATCTGCTTCCAGGCAAACTTACAAAGGCATTTAGAATCCTGATCAAAATAAGGTCCCTACAATTCAAAACGCGGCAGCCAGCGTTTAGCAACGAACAAAGTTGGAGGGGAAATCGAAGACATTTGTCCACGTCACAGGTGAAAGGGGGAACCCAGAATGCCACTTTTTCTGGCAGTCAACTGAGTTGTGACATTTAGGAGCATTCACACCATCTGATGGCAGATCACACTGCCAACAGCCTACCTTAGGCTGATTATATAGTTGCCTTTGTTGCGCATCTGAGGAGGCACTGGCATTCGCCAAGCACGATTCTTGGTGAGCATGTATGCACGGTCATGCTTTGCCTCCGTCCTCAAAGGCGCTGACTCCTCCTTCCAGTTTGGAAACAACTCCACCAATGACCTCGGGTCCAAAACATTACCAGAGATGATGTGGGCACCTACAGGCATCCAAGCACCACTTTCAACAAATCGATTTCCCTCTGGTTTGCACTGAAACAGTGCATTTAATACATAGTCACGAAATGGTGCAATGCAACATGCTGATATGCTGAAACCCATTCCCTGCTACGATCTGAAGTTGCAGACACGCAGTGTGCTCAAAGACAGGTGTGGGGATTATAAGACAACAGTCTTGGCCATGAGTTAGGTGTTAATCATCCAGAACCAAGTCCCATGCATGTCTTTTCCAGTACCAAAAGGGTGCATCACCTAGCAGATGACCATGCAGTGTGAAGTGCCAAGCTCCCACATATGGTATACTGTAGTAGGGACAATGAACTATGAATGGGAAGGAAAGCTGCACATGGTGACAAGGTGCAGACAGCGCCACACTTGCCAGTTGCCATTGGTCAAACCAACAGGACAACACTGGGGGCCAATCAGCTACAAAGTCACCATGGAGAGGGGGATGCTTAAAGGAGCGAACTAAACACTTGTTGGATGTTGTTGTGCCCATCATCGCCTTCTGGGTGCTTGAGCTTTCCTTTGCTCTGTGTTGCTGACAAAACGCAGTCAAGGGAAAGGAAAATGGGACCCATTTAAGACCTTCAAACACACCAGAGGCCACTGCAACGTGCTTGAGACAAGCAAAACAACGGGCTAGGGCACTTGGCGCCCTGGGGACAGACGTACTCACCCACTTCAGCACCTTTCTCCACGACACAAACGCTGATATCCTGGTCTCCCTCCTTTGCTAGCTGTGCAACGAAAAGCAGGGGCTCAGCCACACTACATGGCGCCAAGGGGCTCTGACCTCTGTTAGGCAGTGGCAACTCAACTGTTGCGCCTTTTCAGAAGAGGAGCGGGAGAGAGGAGCTTCTCTGATCATTTTTGTCTAGCTGCGAGTTGTTGCATTGATACCAAGCCCTGGATGGGCATATCATGTTGGGCAACATGGAGATCGGCCGAGTATAGCCTCTGCATAAGTAAGCTCTTCCCTGAAGATACTGGCTGATCAATGGGTGTATTAGCTTGGAGACACTGTTTCCAGCGCATGTTCGACTGCGCCACGTGACTGCCACAAACTTCCAGCACTCAGCTGGCGGCGCTGATCGTATGGAGATCCGTGTCAGCAACACGTCGGACGGCCCCGAGCGACGATCAGCGCCACAAGACACCAAACAGGGGGCGGCTCACACAGCAACCGGCACCGGGTGCCAAACGAAAGGTCGCCTCACGCCCCTCGGCGGTTCGACCCGCAATTCTCATCGAAACAGCGCACAACGGCGTCCAGGCAAGCGGCCGCACGGCGCCAGCGATGAGCGATTCCAGGGGATGCGCCGTGGAGGCGGCGGCTCCGCGGGCGTCCCCGATCGCGGCTTGCCTGCTTGATCTTGATGGCCGCCGAGAGGCCGGCGGGCCCCGCACCCACGACGCACACGTCGTAGGACATCACCTCGCGGGCGGCGGCGCCCGACGCCAGGCGCCACTGGCCCCGGTCCGGAGTGCGCGCACGGCGCGGATCGAGCAGCAGCCGCGCGCCAGCCGCCGCGGCTCGCAACAGACGGCCTCGCAGCATGCCGGGCGGCGGTGCGAAAAAGCCGGTCGAGGGCGTGTGGGCTGTGCGGGGTTCCTCGCGGCGGCGGCCCCGGGAAGTGGGGGTCGGTATGGGTGGAGGGGAGCATGTGTACTGTGGATGGGGGGGTCTACCCTTGAGATGAGGCGAACAATGGGCAGCAGGGAGAGTTTGCACTGCGGATTAATCCAATATTGGAGGGTCAGCCCTCGAGATGGGGTCATCTAACTCGAAGCCATTGCGGGGTTGCGGCCTGGCGCAAGGCCCAGCCCACTGCGTTCCGTCGGCTTGTTTGAGCACGTGGCTCTTGGGACAATGAAGCGAATCGCGGAAAAGTTGATTTCATGGGGGAAAATTGGCCGCGCCGTTTTGTCGTGCGGCACAAGTTGCACCATGGAAGCCTGACCCGCTTGGGGGATGCCACCAACTGGGGAACCGCAATTTGCAGCCCTCAAATGGGTGATAGCAGAGACACTTGTCAGGAGGGCACCCGGCCCATGTCCACAGTGTTGTGCAACCAAACAAAACAACACAAGCTGCTCTGCAGGACTTGATAATGTGAGGCTGCAAGGAATGAACAGCCATGTGACCAGACTCTGCAGCAAGAAAAGCAAGTCAACGTCCGATGTCACCCACTCCCTGCCACAAGATCGGCATCTACATCGTCGATGCTTCTTTCTATGCACAGTGCCGACTTTAACTTGTTCGCATGCCCATTTTCTGAGGAAGCACATATGCACCATCAGGCAGACACGCTGCTGGCCCAGTACAGCTGCAGCCATTCCATCATCAGCATGGTGCAAGGTACACAGTAGGGGCATAACACTGGGGAAAATCGTGTGCCACGCAGTTTTCTGGGCACACACACTGAGCTACAGAGGGGCAAGGGCTACCTCGACCGAGGTAAAACCTTCCTTGCTAGCTGCACCACAGCCCCTTGAGGTGTTTGAAGACGGAACACTATCTAGCAAGGCAGGAAATCTCACTGTAGACCCCACCAGAACGGCACACGCACAAGGGGTAGTGGCTTACATGGAACGGCCTGGATAACCCACAGCTGAGTTGAGAATGGAAGAATTTTGTGCAAAGACAGCAACAGTGGGTTTCTGTGCACTTGTGCTGCTGTTGGGCAGGCAAGGTGGTTTGGTCACAAAGTGCCGGCTATTGTAAGCAGCTCGCCAGCAACTGCTGAACCCAAAACTTGGCTCCAACAGGTGCTACAATTGGGAGAATGTGTACATTGAAGCACCACGATGTCTTGCGGCCAACCATCTGTCTCAACCTGTTTTCCTTGCCAAAATCTTGGGACACCTTGCATCTCTTCTGAGGCGCTCATCTGTTGCCACCATCTTCCTCACCATGTCCACTGCACCAAAGATCTCCAGACAGCCCATTTCCACCATATCCACCTCCAGAAGCCCACCCAAACATTGATCTCCAGGCTGCCCATGCTCAAACTTGCTGGCACGACTCCAGGCAACCAGATGTCAAGCCGTGTGTTCTTCCCTCCCTATCGCTCAAACACCAGAAAAACTGAAACCCATCAGGCTGCCATGCGATGCACAGCGCCAATGTAAACCAGCAGTGTTCATGTTGGCAAAAAGGTGTTCAATCGCCCTTTTTCCGGAACCTGCAGCCTGCAGACAGAAGACACAGCAGGTCAACAGGTCAATCACAGAACAAGAACCAATGAACAGCATTCCGTGCATTTCCTGGGTCCATTGACGTGCCAAAAGCCATGAGCTTCATTCCATGCCTGCCCTTTTGAGAGATAAAGCGAGTTTGGGCGAATCCCTTCCATGTCTGTGCGATCCTGCATTTCAGCACGCTCTGCTCTGCAGCACCACTCTTGGGCACTGGGGATCACTCACTGGGGGCTGATACCTCTCTCGGATCCCAATGCAAAAGAACAGATCTGAGAGTTCGCAATCGCCTCCTGGTAATCGCATTAGACTTGATGCCCATATCTGGTGATGCCTCCAGGGAGCCCAAGAGCACAGGTTGCATCCATTGCAAGGATTCGTCGAGAAAAAGCACAGCACACCAGCTAATCTGTAGAGCTGGATGCTAAGGAGAGATTGACGTTCGGCGGGAGGCGACTGCGGACGCGAAAGCGGAGCGCAGATGAGGAAGGGGATTGCCGATGCTCAACGCAGGGCGCACCTTCTGTCAAACGCGCCCGGCCGCCGGTTGGCGTGCACAAGATCTGGGAGCAAGATGGGCATACGACCACAGATTGTGAGTGGGAAAACACCGTCGTTCTGCAGCCACACGCAAAACGAAACATCGAATCAGCAATCGGCAGGGCGCCTCCGCCCACAAATCATCCGCCCAGAGCCGACGGAAAGCGCAGGGCTGACATCGCGTTCGGGGGGTCATATGGAGGCACGAAAACGTCCAGAAACTGAGAAGGGTTTGCACCCCGCAGCAAAGAGCAAACTGAGGCGATTCGGGTGGCGTGGCATCCACACCAAGGCCTTCCACGCATGCCGCGGGCGGCCGCCACTGGTTGAGTAGCAAAGATTCCCACGATTCCGGCAGATCAATGGAGGTTTCTGATGCGCGATGGCGCGCGCCAGCACCACTCACATGCTCAAGCACCCCTCGCACTTAACGTCCATGAAGAAAGAGTTCGGCGATGGCACTAGCCTCTTCAACTTGTGCTTCCTCTTTTCAAGCTCCGCTGGCGGGTTCAAGAGGTCGATGTCGCTGTGGAGCACCTGCGCAGAGAGGCAACGGGGGCTCGCCCGGGTAAATTTCCTCACGGAGTCACGACAGAAAATGGGGTTTCAGGGCAGCTACCCGGGGCCTGCATGGCATCGGATTGCCCGGCGCGGGCGGCCAAACGCACGGTGGCGCCGCGCCGCCGACTCACCATGTTTGCAGCGAGCCCGAGGGCCCGTCCCTAGACCACAGCACCGCTTCTGTTTGCCTTGGCCTCCGCCGCAACTACCGGCCGGAAGGCGCGAAGGTGGCGGCGCGGGCTGGGCGCGCAATGGGCGAGGAGGCCCACAATTGGTTGGAACGACCAATTCATGGCGGTCACGACTCTTGCTAATGGGATAACGGTGGTTAATGAGTGTGGGATTGGGACCCTTGTGGTTGGGAAGCTTACTCATGCTTACCCGCAGAAGGAGGCACGCTTAACTCATCCGTGTCCAGATTCCAGTTCGCTGGCCAAGAACGCCTGTTGCTCCAAACGGCCAGAGCACGTCACCGTACAGTCGTAAAATAGGAGGTGCTGATGCGTTCGAGCCTCAAAATTTGAGGAGATTGCATCATGCACAGGAACACACCAAAATCCGCATACAGCTGATTCGATTCCGTGGCTAGGTTTCAGGACTGGTCGGAAAAGGAAAGAAAGATTGGTGAACAACGGTAGGGGAGAGACGCTGCACAGCTTCGAGGCCTGGCTAACAATGCGACAGTGAAATATTTGCGGCCTTGCATAGGGACAGGCACAAGAAAACTGGTGAACAGGAGCCGTTGGGGTTTTGTCGGTAAGCGACATGAGAACGACGCGGGTCCGGCTCCAGAGGTGTGGCCGGCACTGCGTGTGATACCGTACTCTACACCCTTGTTGCCTGTTGGTTTCGTCAACCTCAGCCGCACTTTTGTGCCACCGCATTGCCCGATGCCAATCGCTTCCGGAGTGGTTACCAGATGCCCGGATTGTGGCAAGCCGGGTGTCACAAGACACACATCAGCAGTGCCAAACCCGGCGTGTCAGCCTCTAGGATTTTCGCTCCGGGGATGAGCCAGCGCGACATGGAAGATGGGACCAACGGCAGCCTGGATATCTTTAAACTGTACATGGACACCAGCGGGCTGAGGCCGCGCTGGGCGGCATTTGTGCATTACGTATGTGACATGCTGCTGCGAGTCGACAGTGCCAAACGCGAAGGCCTGTGGCAGATTGGTCCAAGGCCGGAATTCCATTCAAAGAGGGCGAGGAGTGCCACAAGTGTGAAGAGTTGGCGGAGAACAAAAAGGTGCCCATGAAATCGAGGGGACATTTCGAGTCGATGATCTGGCGTGCGGAATTCGTTGGATGCACGCAACCGGTCCATGGCGACTTCGTGAGGAAGATAAACGGGGTCTGGCGCGTCTGGATGTTCCACCGAGATTTCCCCGAGAGATTCTATTCATGGCCTGTGCATGGAAGAAGGGTGACCCAAGTGATATGCTGTGTCGTACGCGTTTTGTTCCTGCGAGGCCATCCCAACGAAACGGAGGCTATTATGGTTCGTCACGAAGCGCCCTTTTAGGTTCCATCGATTGATGCCGCAGGATTGGGTATCGTTAGATAAGGTCAGCAATCATGCACTCGTGCACTGGGCCCTCTCCCGAAGTATGTGTGTCGGCGAGCAATCCCGGTGTAAATGGTTCGATCTGCCGCAGCCAATGACCGTCGTCTGCAGGATTGTGTGCGCCGTCCACACTGGGTGACACTAGGGGCACAGTGCTGGTCGTCAATGTGCTCCGGCCCTGGACTCCAGCACTGTCACGGTCGACTATACCTACCAAAGTGCATGATCACACTGCAGTCAAGTGTTGTCCTTGTTTGCTGTCGTTCTTGATGACCAAGTGCTACTATGCCGTTGCATAATGTACCTGAGGGCGCTCTGTCGCCACCCGATCGATGCTTCAAATGCTGGTAACGAAACGAACTGGTTTCTCAACTTCTTTCGAGGGCGACGTTGGAAGGGTTGCCGATGGGTGGAACTGGCGGCCACGTGAGGGCATATCTGACAGTACATTTCGGCTTTCTGTCCCGCTGTACTTTGGGCCAGTACATGCTCACCGCGGTTAAGGGTGAGCTTGGGGTAGTTGGCGCATTTGATATTGGTGACCCTTTGGAGCCCTGAATGGCGGCGGCTATGTGAACGCCAGCCTTGAATCCCACTATTGTCTTGTTCTGCTCCTCTCCGTAACGACCTACAGTTCGAGGTTCGGGTTGGTGTGGGATGGAGAGGTGGTCATGTACAAGAAACAGGATCTGACTGAGAATGAGTTGCTGTGGCTTGACTAGCAAACCGTTTGCGCACAATTTGTTGTGGGAAACCTGGGCTGTGAATGATGACCAGCACCCACTGAGTTTGGAACGCAACGTCTCTATCGGGTGTGAAAACAAAGCTGGTTCGAGGAGACCGATGATGCAAAAGCAACCGAATTCATCGCTGCATTTGTGGACGTGATGCTCGGCTCTGTACGGCCCCGAAACGTTGCACAGAGGTACATGCAGGGGAACGCCAAGAGGGTGCTTTGGAGCGCTCAACTGCCATGAAGGCAGCTTGATAGAACCATTGGGATACCGGACGTTCACCTGGAAAGCCACCACAGTACTCTCGTTTGAGTTCATAGTTGGATGCTTGACTGGCAATGCAGGGCCTCCACTCAGCTGATGCTAATCCCCTGCCTTGTGGTTCCTACCGTGTAGTGCCGCACTGCTCCATTCCTTCCCTTGCCCGCATCACTGCTGCCATTCCTAAACATGTCATGGTATACAACCAGAGCTTGGACACAGCACCCATGGCTAACCCCAACAAAACTACTCAGGTTCCAAATTGTGCACACGCTGGTTCCAACCCAAAAGATTGACTCTGGACAACACTTAACCTCGGGTTGTGCCACTTGCCGCACTTCCAACCTGGACGGGCAATTGAACAACTGAGAACGTGCGCAGCTCGGAATCCACCACCGCCATACACGGAGCTGCCCAAGTGTTAACGGCAGGCTGCTCCAAGAGGCGGGACAGTGGGCAATAGAAAAGGTATCTGCACTATCTGACGGCCGGAAAAAGGTAGTGCATGCAAAGCCCAATCTCATGGTGTCCCACCACATAGAGAGGAGAAAGGCAGCAGGAGGGCTTTGGCAACATCTTACCGCTCAATGCAGCAGCGTTGCAGCACCAATGGACACACGCCTTGCACCTTGTGCCTTGACACGGCAATGCAACCATCATCAGTCAATCTTTCAAACGTGACAAGGGCTCCTAGGACTGGAGGCACGCAGCTGAGTTTAACAGCAGCAGCTGCACACACACTACAGTCATACAAACTTGGGGCACTACCATCTGTCCAGAAGCTCTGTTTGCTGGCGCCTTGTTGCTCAAGTGCCCCTGCAACCGCCTGCCCTTCCTGTGACGTTAACCACTCCGCCACCTGGACATCCACAACGAATCACAGGGCATCCCTACAAGCCCAACACATAAACGGCTGCTCCGTGCACTCCACAACCCAAAATCGTGTTTCACAGGCCTGCCCTGCCGCCACCTACAAGACACACTCTTAGCCCAGTCGACACTTGTGATACTCTTTGCCTTGATCGACACTTGCCCCCAGGCCGCACAACCCTCGTTGTCCCTCTCGCCTGTAGTTCTCACACACCAAAATGAGAATTGTACACTTGTGTAAACTGATACTCAGCAACGATTTGCCGTCCAGCAAACCACCTCCCATGGAGGGCCTTCTGGGCGGCTTCGGCGCCCTCCTGTGTGACAAACCTGAGGTACACGAAACCCTGCGGACAAACACAAACACACACGGCCACCATCAGCGTGAAAATGGAAGGAAAACATACCAGCCACAGCAAATTCAATTTCTTAGAGCCGTAATGCCCGCATAGTCCACCTCAGATATACAGCATCGCTGGAATCCTGTAAGATGCAAAGAAACACATTTCAGAGACTGTGTCTCAAACGGAATCCAGATCCAAAGAGGAAAGCATGCGATATTGAATTGGAGCCACGAAAGATGGCCCAAGCATCCAACACTGCTCAACTACATGGGAGACAAGCAGAAGCTGCCACTAGCTCACCTTGCTGTTTCTGTCCACATGGACGTGTGAAACCTCCCCATACTTACTGCACTCATCACGCACATCGTCCCCGATTTCCTTGTCCCAGTCAGGTTCGGACTCCCTGCAAAGACAGGCAGCAGGTGTCAGCATCGGCATCAACAATAGTCTCCCTTCCCACTGGATAACCCTTGCCAGGCAATCGCTGGTGGCCAGTCAGGTCACGAAAACTGGGCAGGTTCCACTGCTCAGCATTTGAAGCACACTTGAGGTAGCTTGGATACTGCTGTTGCTGAAACTTGCTACGCCTGCTCACACATCACTGGAGCAGAATGGACCCATTCTAGACCAAGTCGCCGCACGGAAATCATGTTAGGGGAGCTTGCCACGCGCAGAAGCTCCCCCAACACACTGCAAAGGACTGGCAAACAAACATCCAAGCACAACCACCCACACAGAAACCCTGATCCCGCAAAGGCCCCGTTTACAAACGTACACCAGAGCCAATATTGCGGCACATGTTGTACCAGTCGACACTGTGCCCCAACAACTTACTGTGTGGGATCAAACATGTTCTTGATGAGCAGGCACTGCGTGGGAATCGGCGATGCCGGGCCCAGGAGTCCTTGCTCCAGCACCATGGGGTGCTGCATTTGCATCTGCAGCTGTGCGCTTGGGAGGTTCACTTGAGGCACACCAGACAGGCCAGGCACCCCAAACGCAGAGGTGGGCTGCAATCCGGCAGAGTTGGCCAATCGGTTCATGAGTGCAGCTCGAGCATGTGAGGAAAGGCGCATGCCTCCACCCATCTCTGTGGCAATCAACCCAATCCAAGTGAGAAAGCCACACAATAAAGGAACCAGCATTCAAAACAAGTGCAAACAATTGGGGAAGAACAGCAAGTGACCAGGGCATTCGAATACTTTGCCTGCATGTCGTGCATGCCACTTCCACACTCACCAAATTCAGAATTGTGCACTGAGGGCCAGCACTGGAGACAACTGATTCTTGCACCACATCAGCTGCATCATCAACTACAGGTGTTATGTCTGCGCTATTAGAATAAACAAAAAAGACCATCTGCAATACTGTGAGTGCCAAAGCAACCGTTTGACAACACACCAGAACGATGCCCATCATTCCCTAACACGTACAAGGGCAATGGTTTGTTGTGTGACAAAAGGAATAGAAATGGAATACCACAGCCACGCCAGACCCCATTTGAGATGGCTGCAAGGAGCCTGTAAGACAGAAGACAGAACGTGTTTGGTCCAATGAAGTTACAAAGCACGCTGTTAGTGCAAACTGCACAGACACGTGCTGCCCCAAAATGCACAGCCCCAATGCCCACTGCAGCAGCCCATGACTTCAACTCCGCATCGAGCCCAGGGCAACAGTGTTCTGTGGCAGGCTGGCAGGCATGTTACATGCTGACCCCAGCTGCCATCCAGCACTATATTTGTCTGTGCCTGTTAAATAGAACATACCTGACAACACCTGGTGCCCACACCCACTGGTGGAACCATTCTGGTACATGCAGTATGATGGCCTGAGCACATTGATGGCTTTCAGCAGGTTTCCTTACAGCCTGGATAGCTTTCCCGATGAGTTGCACAAAGATCGCTCCCCAACAACTGCCCTGTGGTTCTTGCTCACAGCAGGGAGGCGCAGTAGTAGCATGCACAATGCCACACCCAAAGGCCCACGAGAACAATCTCAACAGAAATCGCAGCAGCGCAAGCAACACAGAGTGGAAGAAAAGAATGTGTGATTATGACAGCATTACTGCATGAGGGCATGACAGGCACCAAAAAGCAAAACGATGTGCAACTAATTGCTGAATGACTGATTCTATGACCTCCGACTCTGCTCTCACCATCTTCCTCATCAAGCTCCCCTATTCCAGCGATTCCAGCTTCTCCACTAGAAACAGATGCTATGGAGACCTTAAGGGCCGTGCCACCTATTTCCAGGCCATTCAACTGCTGCATGGCCTTGGTTGCATCTGACATCAGCTTGAACCTTCACCACCACAGATCACACAAACGCTGATCTCAGTTTGAGCACATGTATTGTAGAGGTGAAAATACAAAGCAAACAGAAACGAGAGGAACAGGAATAGAGTGAAAACTGACACACTTGAACAGAAGGGTACGTACCAGGCATCTCAGCTCTGAAATGCAAGGCTCAAGTTGGAATAGAATAGAAAACAGTTCAGAAGAGGCACATGGCAATAGTCTCCACCAGACAACGGACAAAACATGGCAGCACACAATCAAGTGAAGGCAGATGACATGGAAGCAGCACAAAAGCCTCTTGTCGTCAGCACAAACCAGCCATACAGTCAGCTCCCTGCAGCAGACACTGTCTCCCAATTTCATGTCAAGAGTCACCCAGATTTCATTCAGAATCTTGGTCACTGTCCATGGCACTCACTGGACAAAGCCGTATCCTTGAGAGTTGCCAGATCCATCCTTGGCCAGTTGTATGAAGTCGAGCTCACCAAACGGCTCAAATATCTTTCTGAGGTCACTTTCCTGTTGTCCACAGAGCAGAACGGGCAGCAGTTAGTTGCAACCCAGTACAAGTGCCTGCCAAGAACAACAAGTACCCTTGCCTGTACATTGCAGACAGTTACGCAGGCAACAGAGCCTTGTCCAACTGCTGTGTCTGCAGATGCATAACAGTCGTGCTACACAGAAGAGACGAAGAGCCAGATACCCATCGCCAACCACCATGGGCAACAAGGATGTTCGTGTTCATTGCGATCGTAGTTTGGATAGCAGCATGTGGACTCTGTCGCTCGCCAGCAAATGCCATCCAAGGGCAGCAGATGCACCAGGGGTGTCATATTCTGGGTCCAGCAGTGCATGTTTGCTCAACTGAACAGTTTAAGGGCAGGCGAAATCTCTGCAGCACTGCAGGAAAGGCCAAATCGCCACCACACATCCACGTTGAGACAGCATGAAAACTGCACCGGCCTACAAGGACAATGCAAACAGGTACAATCGACAGCAACATATCATAAAGAAACAAGAACACACAAGGGCCCTTGAGGCACACACAGCAGTGCTCTTTGTGGAAAACGACCATTGGTAAAAATACATACCGAGATGTCAGGGTGGAGCCCTTCGACACTCAGCTTGCATGGGCCTGTGGCCGTACCAAGGCCAGTCCCCAGCAAGGCTGCCGCTGCGGCCTGGTTCTGCTGCTGCTGCTGCTGGGCTTCCCATGCCAAGTTCTTCTCAGCCTGCAAAGGTAGAGTGCAACTCAGTGTCACCGCCTGAGTCCTGGGAGCAAAGTCACCGCAACCCAAAATGGCTGACATCAGCTGCACTTAGTGCCTAGTTGTGATATCCAACATCCAACAAAATTCACAAGGCACTGGCACATCAACATCAAGGCACTGGCACATCCACACCAAGGCACCGGCACATCCACATCAACAACTGTGAATGCACATTCAGTACTGTACGATGGGGTTGACGAGCCAGGAAAAAAAGCCCATTTATGGGCCCGTAACCACCAACACTGGTTCAACGGCTTTGCTTTGGCATGGACAACAGATGCAATCATAAGACTTCCACAGCCCACTCACTTCGGACGCCTTCACCATGACCGCTTGTCCCATCAAGACCTGCCCTGTGAGCGCCAAGGCATTCAGCACATCCTCCTGCTTTTCAAACTCCACATAAGCAAAGCCCTTGGACTTCCTTGTGTTCCGGTCCATTATGATCTTCACGTCCATGACCGTGCCAGCCTTGGAGAAAAAGTCGAAGATGTCCCTTTCGTCTGCCCTCAGGTTCAGGTTGTAGGCAAATATCGTCCGTGTGTCACGCTCCAGTTCCCTCAGCTCCTTCTCGCGCTCCCGGGCGGCCCGAACCTCTGGAGGCGTCCTCTCCTTCCTGTGGCAAACAAACAGCGGCAGGCTGTTTGGGTCGGACAAGGCCATTCTTATTGTGGAATCTGTGAAGTGTGGCGCCACACGAGGCTGGAACAAGCATGTGCATCTGTGCCAAGAGGTGCGACTACGCCGGTCGCAAACCTCGTTGTTAGGGACGCCGAAATACCACTTTGTGGAACATGCCCTTGTGCAGGGGAGATGACCACTGGTCGCACGTCTTCCTCTGCGGCAAACATACCAAGTGTGCTCGCTGCTTGCGACGCCTTGGTCGTTGAAAGCAGCAGCATAGGGGTCAGCCGGGGGCCGCTCCAACGCCCGCACACAACTTCCCAACCAACCAATCGCTCCGCACGGCGAGGCGGAGGCTGCGGCACCCAGGAACAGACATGAGGGGCACCCAAGGCCCCCAGCGCGCTCACTGGCCCCCCTGCCAACCTCCACCCCACGGCCGGTCTCCGCCAATCCGCCGGCCCACGACCGGTGCATTCCCACAGACGCGGATCCAAGCCCACCAGCCACCGCACCCAGCAGCCCAACAACAACCCAGCCGGCAGCCGTGCCGACCGCAAGCCACCTCGTGCGCCCCACACACCCCCGGGATCCCCCCCCCAACACACACAGAAGGGGTTCTGCATGTCCCGTGTTTTGGGGATTCTAACACACATCCCGGCACACGCCCACCTCCTTTCCCTCGACAGCGACCGCCGCTTTCCTCTGTAGTCATCCCGCCTGCGCCGGGTGCCGCCCCGGTCGCGTCCGTCCCTGTAACCCCGCGGGGGGGACTGCCGCCGGGCCCTCTCGCCGCGCCCGCGCTCCGGCTCGCGCGGCCGGCTGCGACTGCGCTTGCGCTCGCGGTCGCGCGGCCGCGGCCGGCGCTCGTCCTCGTGGCGCGGCGGCCGGTGCCGGTAGTCGTTGTTGGCGGTGTCGTTCTCCTTCTGCTCTAGTTGCTTCTCCAGGTAGTCGTACCTGGGGTGGGGGCGGACAGCCAACGGGTCAGCGTCAGAAAAGGGAGGGCGAGTTGAGGTCCGGAGTGGTGGGATAACTACGCACTCGTCGAACTCAGCCATGGCGGTGGGCGTGGGCGCCCCGCTGCTGCTACGGATGGCCGGCGAGCGCCACGGGCTAGGGTTGCGGCTGCTGGGCGGGAGGCGGCGACGGCGGGATGGGGGAAGGGGGGGGGTACGGCGAAGGGCGCGCTGTGAAGTCCGTTGCCGTGGGGTGGGTGGGGTGTCTTGGGGGGGGAGGGGAGCCGGTGGGTTTTGACGGACTCGAGATGTTGCGTTCCGGCGCATTTGCGCTTTTTGGAACGCGTTGCGTTTTTGGACCGGTGGCGTGGGTGACGATCGTCGTTTCGGCCCCGGGCGGGGCCCGCCTCGGGGAGCGCGAAAATCCCGCGTTGTTACCGACTGGAAACGTGGGAAAACCCACGTACGGTACGTACGGTACGTACGGTATGTACGGTATGTACGGTACTGGAGGGTGGCGCTGGGTGGGATTTCCACCTTTCAACGATGTGCGCATGGCCTGCATTCGCCGGGTGGCTCCGTTGTGTGCCGAATTTCCCGGTTCGAGCGTTTCGTCCCGCACTGGGGTCTGGGCGTCGGTGCTGCGCGCACCGATGGCCCCGCTCGCTGAGAAAGCGGAGGCTGAGCAAGTGCTGCGGGCAATCCCTCTGTGCTGCTGTCCCGAATAATGACACTGGGTGTCCTGTCTGTGTGTAAACTATTGTGCACCTGGCTGTTGGCTGAGTGGTCAGCCAACCCACCCAAGTATCGATCACCGTTAGTGGCTTGTGCCACAGTGTTCTGGTCGCCCGAACGGCTCGACATACGCCATCTGCTGCAGCAGTACTGTATTTTGCTACCACTGCGAGCGCAGGGAGCATGCTTCTCATCAAGAGCGGTGGAACAGCCCAATCTCGCTGTACAGCGACAGGACGGACATGTGCAGTCTCCCGCCAGTGGTCACCTCTGAAAGTGTGAAATCGCAGGCTTATGATGTTTGGGTGCAGGTGGCCTGAAGTGTGCGACTCTCAAGGGGCCAGGCACTGGCTGAGCATGAGTCGCAAAGGCATGTACGGCCAGCAGCTCCAACACCTCGTCACACCTTCGTCGGCGCAGATGAGGCACCAGCCAGTCTCAAACTCATCACTGTCACAGTAATCATGCAGTGGATCGCCAGATATGTTTCGCAGACTGAAAGGTTGATACGGCCCACTGGGTGCGGCACTGAGGTCAAGCAGAAAGTGTTTGCCGTGCTTACACAAATGTGATCTGCGATGTTTCTCAGCATCCTGGCAGTCCAAACATTCGAGGTATGGGTGTGATATATGCACCAAGACACACAGCGCTGCCCGAAAAACACATGGGGGCTCCGGAAATCGGAACAACCCCCTATGGCACATTACAACAAAAACGGGACATAACCACCATTGCACAAATGAAATGTAATGCGGCTGAGTTTTTGTGATAATTAATACACTTTTGCTCCTGACTCCCTATGTATGCATCTCTGTAACGGACCACTCTCCTGAAAGAATCGTTTTCCAAACTGCACAAAACGTTCCCTAAGCCCATCAGAAGCATATTATTCTGCCATCCTTGATGGCAAGCAGAAGCCACATTTGTCTGCTACCCAAACAAACACTTCACTTCTCCATGGTACATATGCGTCCAACCCCACTGGTGCCAACAATGCTCATCAACACAACACCGTCAGCAACAACAGCAGAAATATCATTTCCAGACTTGCCATGTCATCCAATGGTCGCACCCTGCAGATGTGATGCAACTTCCTATGGAACAGGCCATGCATAGCTCAATTCTGCACTCCCACAGCACCTATTTTCCACCACTTACGGCCACCAACCCTTTGCATCGACATTTTCATCGACATTTTCGGGTAGACGAGAGCCTCACATGTGGAGACATGGTCATGTGTCAACCCCTCCAACAACCCTATTCAACCTCAAAGCAAATGGCAAGACGCCCCAGCCCGTCGCCAGTCAGCGCCTCAGTCCTTGCTGCCCTAGCCCTTGCTGCTCTGGCCCAGCCCGCTGGATGCCCTGGCTCTGGTAACAATCCCCTGTGTCGGAGTCGTTCGAGCCGACTTTCGCTCACTTGTGGATTTCATACTGCTCTGCTGCAGATGTTCACCCTGCTGCACACATTCATGGTGCTCAGACGCCCACAGTGCAGAAAATGGAAGGGTTGGTGACATGCCCATCACTGTCGTTTGTTGTTCTTGTTGTTATTGTTGTTGTTATTTCCTTAATTATGTGGCGTTCACCAAGCCCGGCTCCGCTCCCAGCAGCATAAACATATTGTTGTCGTTGTTGTGGACTCTGGCAGCAATACCTCTATCCTGATACTGGAATCTTGTCTACGCCAGTTTCTTCATGACCGTCCACTGAAGCAAGTACAGCATTACATGGTGCAGGGCATTGGGATAATGACTGAATGAAAACCACAGCACTTCCAGCAAGTGATAAGGATGATAGGAACGTGCATCATCCCCACAGTCCAGCACAGCATGCGCAGCAAGTACTTGCAAGGGGAAATTTTGAGCGCACCACGCCTGGCCCCACTTGTAGTTGCGATTGCAAATGAAAGAAAGTTTTGCGGCCTAGTTTCCTGCACTGGCCAACACCTGGTCAGGGCAGCAGAGGAGACATCTAGAACGCAAGTTGACGAAACAGCATCTAAAGCAGCCCTGCATCCAGCAATGCATTCTGATGGTTCTCACCTCAAGACCGATGCTCCTCAGCATCTCGGATGTCCGCAGAGGCTGGTGCACTCTGCGGGTGGACGTTTCACTCACATCCTCTGATCCAGGAGATGAGGACCTTGTTCGGGGGACACGCAAATTGCCTGTTACTGTACGTCGCCACCGCCTCCTGCCATCCCTGGCAGTCGGTCCAGTGCCAGCGTCGGCCTGCACAATCACAGAAACCAAATCGACACTTAAGGGGACAGCTTGATGGCATTCTTAAGCTTTCTCCTGTTCAAAAACAATAGTACATAGTCAAAGGCGTTGGCATTATGCTGACAGAAGAGGTAATATCTAGTGCCCGCTGTTAAAGAACAGGAGGTTATCCAGGAGTGACTAGAATTGTTGTTGTTATCACTGCAATGCTGTAAACAGACTGTCTGGGACATCAACAACACCAAAGGTCCTGTGTCCCTGTCCCATGGCCACATAACACGAAAAACATAGCCTCCATTTTGGCACCGAAGTCTCATATGCAGTAAGCAGTTTCAGTTCAGTAAAGTGTGGTGTGGCATGTGCAGCAATGGCCACTGGCGACTTACCGAGATGCCCAACCGCCTGCGGATGTTGGATTGACCAGCAGTATGGCATTCCTGCTTTCCTGTGTCTTCGCTTGGGGTTCCAATGTCTGCATCGGGGAGGTAATCGTTGTCCTCATTTCCATCATCATCGTTCTGAGCAAGAGCACAGTGCTTCATGAAGGTGAAAAGCAGGTCACCAGTGAGCAACACCCAACCCCAAGCACTGGAAACTGCAACACTATCCAGTCAAGGCGAAGTTCAACTTCCGATTGAAGCTGGACCATTAACAGCGACA